AAGGAAGAAAGTAAAATAAAATAAAATAAAATAAAATAAAAGTCAACCCGTGCTGTCAGAATACGACAAGGTTTTCACTTCATTTACATTGCAATGACAATGCAAAGGATTCTCATTAGTTTGCTTGCTTCTATTCCTATTGACAGAGCACAGGTAACTCCATTTTCTTTTTCTAACTCCGTTTTCAAAGTCACTTAAGTTTACTTAAACTGCAGATGAACTCACCCCATTAATTCTGCCCATGAAGCTGACCTTAAACTTAGAGGACAAAAAAGGCCAGAACAGTAGGAACAGATGGTTAGAGAAATTAGGAGGTAAAGTAAATGTTAAAGACCAATGTCTGCATGACTTATAGGTGATCAACAGTATCTGGGTAATGGGATTTTTGGGACAATTATATGGAATTCTTGTAAAATTCCTGAGAATGAAGTAATGTGGTAATGTGGTTACCATGGGAACCGGAAAAAGTATATCACCTGGACATAAACTCAAAATGAGCACAAACATTTGGTTTTTCTGACTAAGCATAGGGTGTTGGTCACCAGCTTTCAATAAAGTGTATTTTTTCCTATGCTTTCAGTGTCTCACACGTACCTCTCTCTTGCTCAATTCTGCCAAAAGTTTATGCCACTTAAAATGATATTACCACAAACCAAATCACAACAATCCTATGAAAGTGTAAATTACTCACTATTCCTACATTCGTGAAGATCTCCCAGGAAACTATGTCATGGAGAAAGAGATCAAAGACTATACCATGGATTGTATAGCCCCATATAACCTGACCATATCAATTCTGTTTCTCTCCATCGTGCATCCTTGGCTCACTGATTCAGCAGCATGCTGCTGCCTAGACTTCTTCTTGTTCTCATCCTTGAAAAACACCTCTTCCTTTGGTACAGGCACCCACATCTTTCAGTCTCTGACCAGAAGCAAAGCAAGACAGTCTATCGCTGATCCCTGTCTAAAATGGTTCTTTCTACGTTCTAAAATATCATGCTGCTTTATATTAAAATAGCTTTAGTCTATGTGGCAACATCATTTCTATTTGTTTCTTTTTTATCTGTACCTCCAAGTGGACTGCCTTTAAGTCTACACAATGTATATGCCTTGTCCAAGATGCCACATTATCAATGCCCAAAATCTTCCCCGGGACATAGAAAGGGTCAAGGAAATTATTGTTGAATTAACAAAGAAATAAATTAGTGATCAAAATATCACATCCATGCAATGTCTCATTTAATCCTCAGAGCATTTATTATTATTATTATTAATATTATTCATTTTATTGAGAAATAAATAGCAATCAGACAGTTTCAAATCCAATTAATAGGGCAGTTTCAATAATTAATACAATGCATATTGTTGTCTTCATATTGGCAATTCATAGTACAAGATGAAGACATGATATCCTGTCCATACACTATTAGTACAAATCTTTCCTCCCATTGAATTAAGAGAAAGTAGCTGTATGTCTCTCCTATTTTGTATATACAGATACAAAATGGTTCTTCATTTGTGCCCCCTTTTTTCTAGTTTTGTCAGAGATGGGTATTCCATTGCCATTTAAATATTGTAGGTGTGTGAATTCAGCAAAATAATCCAATATAGTCTAGTAGTCCATAATAGTAGTGGCTTTTCCATACTACTGATAACATCAGTTGTTGACTTGAGTCTTTGCAGCTCAGCATATTAATATGGCTTTAATTTTCATACCTTATTATTATACTTTTCTGCTTGATGACTAAGACCAAGATAAAGCCCCTTTATCTTTTTCTTAGAGCAATCTTAAGAGCCTCATATTCTTGTTGTCACCATGGCACAGAATAGAAACTGTAAACCTCCAACTCCAAAAGGATTTGGGATGTTATTGGAGAAGAAAAAAAGAACATTGTCTCCATTCCCAGAGCTTCCCATCTTGAAACTAACATCTGTTGGTTCCCTGTCTTACGCAACCAAATCAAAAGGCAGATTGTGGATTCCTATATGGGCCTCGGAGAATCCATGGAAGAGCTCTAAGGGACCCTGTGTAGACTCAGAATGTTCTGAATTTAATCATATTCTCAGAAAGTGTAGTGATTAACAGACTATCAAGCAGTGTTCCTTTAGTATTGTGGAGATAAAAGGACCTGAAGACCTCCAGCTGCTCAATCCAGCTACCCTCCCACTGTCAGTGGGCCTGTAATTTGGAAACTTCTGATGTTGTGCCTCGCCATTGACATTAGTCCATTTTGTGCTGCCATATGTAAAAGACTGAGAGTGGGTAATTTGTGAAGAATGTAGATTTTCAATATAGTTCTTGAAGCCTGGAGGTCCAAAGTCAAATAGACCTGGACCTTGCATAGCATTTTTTGCTCTGATGTCCTGAATAGGCAGTAAAGGATAGGAAGCATGCATACGACTAAACTACCCTCCACAGGAAACACACTTCAGCGACAATCACGTTAATCAGGTCTCATGAAATAATCACCTTTCAAACATCCCACCTATGAGAACTGTTGCATTGTAAATCTCCAACAAATGAACTCTGAAGGATACATCCAGACCATAGTTTTCTACCTCAACCCCAAAATGTCCTGTCCTTTTCATGTGCAAAACACATTCACTCCATCACAATATGATCAAAAGTCATAACCCATTCCAGCATCAACACACAAGTCAGGGGCCTCATCAATGAAACCAAAGTATGATTTCTTCTGAAGCAAGCTCTCCTCCAGATATGAACTTAAAACAATGGTGAGACAGGTATAGGAGAGACCATTTCTAAAGGGAGAAAGAGGAGAGATAAATGGTGACTTGTTCCAGTAAGCCCAAAACCCAGCAAATGAAACAATATAGGACCTCTGTGCTATATAAAGAGCAACTTAAATGCAGACGTATGCACTTGAGGTCACCATGGACACAATAAAACACTTAAAGGAAGGGTGCCAGATCCATGGCCCCAAATACAGGCAGCCTTTCCCAAGTCCTGACCATTAAGTCCTGCTGAGTTACTTTCAGTGCCCCATTCATTTGATCTTTTGTTGACTCCTGTGTACATATTTACTGAGCCCATGTTGTGAGCCAAGTTCTTTGTTCAGCACAGTGATCAGGCAAATGTAACATTGACATGAACATTGCAAACAAGGAGAGGCAAGTGATGCAAAGAATTAAGGTGTCACCATGCATGATTTCACCTGCCATCCCAGTACTCGAGTGTCTCAGACAGGATAATCACTGTGAGTTTGAGCACAAACTGGGCTACAGAGAAAAACTCCGTTCTAGAAAAATAAACCTTATTGTAGGAATATGACCTTGTCTGAGGATCTATAAAGATTTCTCATGAGAAGTGATACTTGCATGGACACCTAAGAAACAATAAGAATGAAGAGAATGGGTGAATAG